CATTTTCCCAGACTTACCCCGATCTTCATGTCCAGAAATGTAGTCTAGGAAGATTTTGAGGCCCAGATTTCTCCATGATCTCTGTATGTTTATTAGATTAAAAGGTTCTAGCAGTATCAAGAACCACTAAATCTTTTCTAAATATTACCAGAATCTACATATACATTGGCACAGTTGACTTTTTGCAAGTTCTCTTGCAGACCAGTTGTTGCATGTTCTAGTCTGTTGGTCTATACATACTCAGTCTACCCATATATACCAAAAGATTTGGATCAACTCAGCAAAAAAGAATGACAGAAAAATAACTGTGCTGAAGGCACAAATTTCTCAGATTCTTGGAACATCTACCATATTGCATACACATTGCTTTTTTTTCCACCCAAAAGAACTCCAAGCACATGATCCTAAAAACTAGAAGAATCCTAAAAAAATTACTGCACCATTTTTGAAGAGCCAGTTCACAAAGTAAACCATCACTGTGTACTATCAGCTGGGCAGCTGAACAGGAAAAGGTTGCAAGGAACAGGTTTCCCAAAGGGTCAAGTGTTAAGAAGAAACTTCCCACTAGATGGCTCACAAGGTCCTTACTGTATGGATGAAGGTAGGAAAATCTGACCCAGGAATCATGAAAATGAAAATCTGTAAGACATTCCATAAGAACGTCACCAGATAATGACACTCAGGGTTGGCCATGACCATGCAGTCCTCTGCAGCCAAGAACACTGAAAATCTTCACACTGGAATTCATACAGTTCCGAGTCTGGATCCCTATCTAGTCCTCGGTCTTGTCTAGATTCCTAAAATATAAGAGCAGCAAGCCACTCTGTAGGGAATATGGGTGACTTCTAGATTTTTTTTATATTGCTACACAATATATTTAGTAATACACTGTGTTTTCAGAACTGTGCCATTTTATTTCCTTTATTATTTTCAGAATCTGTACTTATTTGAAAGGCAGAACTGTAGATGTAGAATATGCCAGTGCTAAGAGGCCATCTAGCATTCTGTGTACACACAAGATGCCCCGTGTGCAAGCTGGGCTTCCACACTTGCTGCCATGCACTACAAATAACAGAACCATTCCAGACTGCCATAATGACTACAAGAATGCAAGAGTATGGAAATGACCCACATTGCTCTTAATTACTGTGGCTGATTGCTACTGCAAGGTGACACTCAGTGTATATGTGAAATGTTAGAAGCTAATTATAATTTTGGTATTGTAATCAACACCACCAACACGGCAGTATGAGACCCTAATATTCACAATGAACAATTTTTTCCTGTTATTTAAGACTTCTGCAACAATACAATGATACAAAAATGCCCCAGGAACTGACACTTTTTTTTTTTAAGTATCATGTCTCCACTGGGCATTTTGACTATGAAAATAATACAATATAAAATTAATTATATAAACGTTAAAAATTATAAGTATATAATTAATATGAAATAATAAATATTAATGATTATTCTGTAGAAAATTACAATAAATTGGGATAACTTTATTATTATATCTAAAATTTGATTATTATTATTACAGAATACACATCCAATTCAAATGTAGAATACTACCTTCATTAAGAAACTAATTAGGAAATTAATTTATGCAAAGCTTTATCAACTTTATTTTGTGGGTCATCAGGTAACTTTTCTACTTTGACATTCAAAGACCTATTATTTTTAAAACTGGGGTGCTGTAATTAGTATGTCTTTGACAGAAATAGCTCCTCAAACTACTAACATTCTACTAGATGATGATCTTGTACTGTGGGAGCAGATCTCCAATTCTCAAACATGATATGTGAAACCATCTTGTTGACCTTCCATACCAAACAAAAGGACAGGAAGTTGTAATGTCATCAGTAGCTAAAAAGTGTAACAAAAGCAAAAACTTTTTAATTTAGTCAGTAAATCAAATATTAATAGGTCAGAAAACAAACACAGAAAAGAACAGAACTATTTTTTAAATTTAATTAGCTGAAGATTCAGTACTTTAAAACACCCTTATTTATACTGATTAAATACTTAAGGTGAATAAGTTCAAATAAATCTAAATTCTAAATTTTGTAATATATAGATATATTTATTCAATAATGGTAAAATTTAGTTACATTTTCTTAAGATGCAGTTTTATGTCTTTTTAATTTTCATTACGTAATTGAGCTACCAAAAATATTTTTAATATATTTGGTCTTACTAATAAAAAAATCTAAAATATTCTACTTCATGAATTCTTCAAAAGTATATTTAGATAATTTTTCTCCATAAATATGCAGGACAATGACTTTATATAATCATCATATTCCCCATGTGGTTTAAGGACTTAAGTGACCAAGGTTGTTCTTACCAAGGTTCCCAAATAATTTAACTTCCATTAAAATAACTGCTGAAATGGCTTCTCCTTTGAGACTTAGTTCCCTCAGAATTGAAATTTCTTTCCACCATTCAGGGTATTCATAAAATGAAAGTAGTTCACTTCAATGTCATTTCTTTAAGAACTCAGATAAATGTCACAAGAAATTAATTTCTACAATTTTGAAAAAAATCTCATTGCACCCACACCGGGGGAGAGGGAATAAACTAAATCTCAAAACATAAAAGTACTTTCTCAAGCAGTCACAAATCTGTAGAGAACTGCAAATGCTGTTCTTGGAGTCTAGAACCATAAACATACTGCCTGGAGTAAAGAATAAAAAAACATTCAAACTACTGCTCTTTTGGTGTAAATACTGCACAGCATGCACAACTTCAGATGATATTTTAAAGTGAAAACATTACAAGACAGAGATGACTAGGATTAGTAGGAAAGGAAATTGGGATGTCAAAACACAGACAATGGAAATTTATTTATTTATTTATTTATTATATATGAGAAGTGAAAAAATCTGATCATGAGAATGATAGAAATCAAACTTTCTAGTTCAAAAGCATGATGCAGTAATTTGGGATCAATAAGAAAATCTGCAATAAAATTGGAGATCATTGGTTGATAAAAACAAAAGAAACACAGATCTGTCACTAAGATTAAAATGGTTACCAGAAAATAGTGTGATAGAATTGGGAGAAAATTATTTCCAGAAAGGATAAAGAAATATTAAAGCCTTTGTACAAAGCAAACTAAAGTCTTGGGTGGCAAACAACGTACACTTCTGCTCCTTCAGCATTAATGCATCAGGAAAATAAACACTGAGAAGAAAAAAAATCTATAATTATTAATGAACTGTAACAATTAAGAATGAACTAGTTAAAAGTACATACAAGCTGGAAAATAAAATATGTTTCTAACCATAGCAAGTGCAATGTGGAAAGAGAAAAAAATAAAACCTCAAAAATAACAAAAATAACTGCTTTGAGGAAAAAAAGAGGAAATACTGATTACTGCATTCTTTCTTTTAAAATATCTTTCAAAATGGCCTGAATCAATTCTTCTGTGCTTCCCAGATGCAAGGATCTCAAAAAACAAGAGAAGTGAAAATTAATCACTTGAACCCTGTCAATCACAGGAAAGTACAAGCATATCTTCAGTAGTATGCTACTGGGTGCAATGGCAGTCCTTGCACTAACTCAGTGCTCAGATCTGACTCTCTTCACTATTTCAGCTATGGACCTTTCTTTCCTGTCAAACTAAAGAGCCAAACCTGCACTTTCCAGCCACATCTGCTTCACAAATCCATGAAGTACCAGTCCTAAACGCTCTCTTAAGTTATCAGAGTCCATGCTAAATATTACAAGATATTTCATGGCTGAGTCTTTCAAGTCCTTAGAGGCTTCTCTGGAGTTAGTCAAAATGAAACTCTGGAAATGTAAGTTCTATAATTCTTCTACATCTCAAACTTCAAAAAATGAGGCTGAGGTATGATTCATAGTTTTTACTTCAATTTAATTTAAAGAAAAATAATCATGTTTCTTTTCTCAATAAAGATTTCCTGTGGCTTTAGCTTTCTATTCTTGTAGAAATTTCAGTATTTTGATGTGAAGACAGATTGAGGTTCACAGACTGCTGCATGGGTTTTTTTTTTCATCCCCTCTTGTAATGCAATTGTTAACATAAATACTTCTGCAAATTAAAAAATATTTCAAAATACTTATAAAAATAGTGGCACTAGACTTTGTTGAAGATACTCAGAAAAGACATTGCAATTTTCTTTCAGGACAAATTTTCTTTGCCTCCTAACAGACAACACTTTTGCAGGAGAAATGACTCAAAGTCTTGTCAGCTCTTATGTTTGTTTCTGGCTTTCCACTGTGTGAGAGGATTTCTCTACAAGATTATAAGGATTGTCATCCTTCCATCATGTTTCCAATGCCCATCTTTCCATTCTGTAACTCTTGCCTCTTCAGCAAGAATAAGCAACTCTTGAACTGTCTTCCCAGTGAAAGGTAAAGGATGCTTTGTTATGGAGCAGTTCTGTTTGCTTTTATTTTGGCAGAGGATCTATTCTTAAAAGCCACCAAAACAGTTACAATGAAACAGATTGGTCTGTCCATGTCACACTGTTGGTTCAAAAATAGGTGCTTATGAAGATATTTTAAACAAAAACTAATGCAGAGAATCAGTAAATTAATGTAGTTATTGCTCTGCACATTTTCTTTTTGAGATGCCTTATTACTTAGAGGACTAGTTACAATTCATCTTCTAGAACAGAAAAAAAGAGGTAGGATGATTGATTTCATTTGTCTATCCAATTTGTACATATCTTTAATAAACAGAGCTAGGTATACAGCAAAAATATGACTGAACTGTAAAAATAATTAACTTTTGTTCTCATTGTATCACTTTGATATTAATTTTCATTGTGCCTTCAAGCAGGTGAAAAGCATGGAAATGTTCCAGTGAATGCTTGCATACTTACTTTGGTTCTTTCTTCCAGTGCCGTGGCCCATGAAAGTGAGGCAACTTCAGGAGTTAACACATATAGATAATGCCTTAAAATTATCATCTGCAGTGGCAGGTGAGCAGTAGATTGTCTTCTTGGGTTAGAGGCTTTTTTCCCCTTCAAAGTTCAGCTATGTGTCCCGGCTAAAGCACGTACCAACGCAAAATCACCGAAGGCAAGGACAGTGTGTGACTGTGGACAGTGCCACTGTGACATACTGGAGTGAGGACATTTCACTGCCCACCATTTACCTCTCCATCAAGTAGTACCTGTGTCCCAGCAATTACAGAGATGATGATGCACCTGCACAAGACCAACTGAAATGACTCCTGAATCTTCCCCAGTGGTGCTTGCAGATCTGCATTCTCACTGAGTATTTTGGAGAAACTACACACACTTTGTTGTTTTGCCCATAACCCCAAAAAAATGCAAAAGTAATGCAATATATACCTTGGTTTAGGCTTTCAGTTGCACTAAGAGCTCTACAAGAACTATCTAAAAAGTAGAAGCATTAGCAAATATCAGAAGTGGTAAATATCCCAACTCAGTCTTTAGACTTGAATCATACTTGTGATTCTGCTAGTACCGACTCTGAGATCTCCTGAGGAAAACTACTACACCTTCTGGTATTTACAGAAACCTGACAGATGTGCCATTAAAGATAAAAATTCTGTCTCTGAAGATGTATAGCTATAAAATTATCTACAAGATTATTACTAACAAGTAATAGTATCTTGCTGATGTTTGTGTCAATAATATTTATTTGTCACATTTTTTCTTTTAAAAATATTTTAAAACCCATTATTTTTGTACTGGTATTTTCTAGACAGGATGTACCAAGCTTCTGCTGCTCATCTTAAAGCAGCACTAGAAACACCAGAGCAGCAGAGCTTTTTCATTCCTTTTTCTCAGTAGAAATTTCCAGAAATTATCAGTTTTGCTTGTGCAGAGTCAAAGATAACTTAACCAAAGATGAAGAATATGTCTTCACAAAGCTTCTAACTAATTTTCCAAACGTAAGCTTTTAATGCTCAAGCAATCACCAGGAACACTAGTTGTGTACATGTGTGCTAGGAGTACAACTAGATACTAATGCATGCTATACATACAAATATTTTTTCTTTATAAAAAAGACACTTAAAAATCTCTGAAGAGAAACTATTCAGAAGTAGCCTGTTAATTCATGTTCAATCCTAAGTACAGCCATGTTCTGAAAGGGTTAGGTTCACAAAACCAGAAACATGCCTGTATGCTTCTGAATGCTTCTAAACACTCTTAGCACAAACCCAATCTCATTTTTACCAGCTTGTACACCTGATGTTAGGTTTGATTTAGCCGACAGGAATGCAATTAGCAGCAGGTATTATTACTGAACCTATCTTCAAAATCTGAAAATTTCTATAGTTGAGACAAGTATGATTCCTATGTAGTCCATTACCATTTAAGTATGCTACAGGATCCATTACAGGATCCAGTGAAAACTGCAATCTAGCAGTTACTGCTCTAATTATACAGCATATAGAAAATACCTGAGAACCTGTTTCATTTCATTTTCATGTTAGTGTATGCTTGAAATGTAAATGAATTATTTATAACTATTTTAAAATACACTTTGTTAAATGTAACATCATGCACTAAAAACCGTGAGAACAGAAGTTTCTTTCTATTTTAGGACTTCAGAAGCACTTTCTTCGTACAGTGAGAGACACTCGGAGCACACAGACAAGGCGAGGCTGTTCTGCTTTTTTTGTCAGCAGCCTTAGTCTCCCACTCATTTGCTGGATGGATTTCACCAGGCTAGCTGATGTCTCAAGGGCAGCCTGAGACTCACACACTGAAAGTTTCATGTGTTTTTAAAGCTGCAATACCCAGGTTAGAGAGGGAGGCTTCTAAGGCATTAATGTAATGCAAATACAAGTAGGAAGTGTTTTCAGATGCAGGCGTGTATATTCTACAGCAGCCAGCAGGATTACATCCCATTCCCCATCTGCAAGCTTGAAAAATCATGTAGAATACTTTTTAAGACATGAATGTACACCTTTCCCATGTGCTTATTCACTGTATGGGTACCTAAAATATAGCAGAACTATTAAACAGATAAATGACATCAATTTCCTTCTTCAAACATACCTTGGTTTACACTGTATAGTGGAGCAGTTTTTTCAGGTGATTTTCCTTTGCATATTTATATCAAGACCCTTATATTTGTAGATAATTAATAAAATGTAACAATTATAAATAAACAGGAACATTTATATTTGTGAGTTGAGCTGCACGAATCACACCTTCATAGCAATCTTTTAATAAAGCCAAGGATAAACACATTTACATGAGAGAAGACCTACTTAAAAAAAAAAAATCTAAAAAAATAAAAAAATCTAAAAAGTAGAGGTTCTTACCCTAAAAAACTCTTTAGTGGAGCCAGAATCTAATGTCCCATAAGCAATTTCTGTTTGCTTGGAAAGATCCTCTGCACTTTCAATGGGAGACACCATCCTCTCAACCGTCAGGAAGGCAGCTAAGTTAGCCGTGTAGGATGAGATTATGATCAGGGTAAAGAACCACCACACACCTCCAACAATGCGCCCCGACAGGGATCTAGTAACAAGTATGAAATGGATTTGTAAAGTGAAATGGCAGTCCTAAAAAGGAACACGTTATCAGTTTTATGCAAACGGTGCATTATAATATAGGGAGGCATTTCAGGCTATCTCAGAGTCCAGCTCTGCATAGGCATCAGACGGGAAATCAAGGCATTCTTCACTGGATCTCCTGGGACTCTGCTGAAATCAGGACTCCAGAGTTTACTTTTGGAAGAACTTAGTGATCCAGTTCTTCAAAGTTTTGACAACCCTTGAAGGAAACTGTTCCCATCATAATGTGCTATATTTAACACAAACTTTTTGTTCCCTCTGAGGTGATTTTGTGTGACATTATGATGAGGATCAAACAAAATCAGCAAAACAGCCCTTTCAGATAAACCAGTATGCACTTTAAAATCAAGGGTCTTGATTGTTTTCCTAAGACATTCAGACAAAGACTGATTTCCACAAAACAATGGCTTATGCTGGCTGTGTGCACTTTGTACTGAGAAACAAACAGCATTACTTGTAAGAAAAACTTGCCCAGGGAATATCTATAGGCTAGAAAATGCACACGACTTTTGAAAGATACAAGCACTTAAACTGAGGACTGGACATGAAACAATCAGTGATAATACAGAAAAATGATGGAAAAAGTATATTTTTAAAAATAGTAATAATAATCTGATGTTTATAACTGCAGCAGGCGGGCTCTTATGGATCTGTGTTTTGCTTCTCCTGCTCAAGAAGAAAGAAGAAAAGAGAACTCAAGAAGTTATAGAAAACAGCGTAAAGCACACATCTCAACTCAGTAATTTTCAAAAACAGAAAACTAATAGAGAAATACTAATATTACATTATTGTCAAACTTGGCTTTTTTTTTTTCATGATCCTTTAAAGTTTGAAATTGACTACCATTTTTTCACCAAATAAGACATTATAAGAAGCAGTACATAATCTTTGGAGATGAGCTTAATTATTTGGCTGAAATGTGCATGTAGTTAAAAGTCTAGTACTAGGGCACTGCAGTATTTTAGGTTTGTCTTGGTGTGTCTCCTATTTATTAAGTAAACAAATTAGGAATCACTCACCCAGCCTACTGCACTGTGAATGAGAGCAAAAACTAATTCTGACATAGACTATACATATATATAGATATAACTACATATATGTAGATTTAAAAATTATAAACAGTTATGAGAAGTGGATTTAGTAAGCTAAGAACAAAATTAAATAGAACCAAATCTGGACAAATTATTTTTTCCAATTGCTATTGCATAAAAACTCTGTCGTAATTCTGACATTAAAAGATTTATTCCATGTCACAATAGACTCACTAATTCACTCTACTACATGAAAATCAAGTCAGATAAGGCCTAAAATATGTTATTCAAAGTACCCTAGGAAAAAAATTATTTCAAGCTCATTCTAAAGTGAGATATAGTCTGCAAAAATGCTTTCCATCATCTTTGAAAAAACATCACATACTTATTTTGAAATGGAGGTAACTGGAATATAAAATAATTCTGCAGGTAGAATACTGGGTTATAAGATACACTGAATATATTATATTACATATTTGCAAGGTAAAAACCTGTCAATGTGTATTTAATAACTGCCAACTTTATGGCACTTTATATTGTATTGATGACACCCTCTTTAAATGACAATTTTCAAATGTCCATGATCCGTGAGCAAAGTTGCCACTGACTTTGTGAAAAAAGAATAATCTCAATACCAATCCAGAAATTATGCTCCCTTATGGCCTTTTACAGGTAAAATTATTTGGGGTGTCATTTGTACTCAGAATTTCCCCAGGCAGTCTTTCACAGTTAAATGAGTAATTTCTTTTTTTTTTTATGTACATTTTGAAAAGTTCCTAAAATGTGCTAGCATGATCCTATGCTTTAGAAGCACCTAATTTACTAGATCTTTAAGTACTAAATCTTTAGGTACTAAAATAAAAATTTCTGTGCACAATGACCTAAATTTGTGCACCATATCTTGCACTTAGAAAGGTATCTGGCAGAACAGAGAGCACACTCACATCTCAGAAAAGATGAGGAAAACTTTGCTCTAAGTTATGATTATCACATAATAAATTATTCTTCTCTATTATTCCTTTACTATCCATGAGGCAACATAGGGACTGCTACTACCAGACCATTTCCAGGTGGTCCAGTCTTACTCAGCACCTTCTATTCCAGAGTAGGGAACCCTAGTAACTTGTCTGCTCTAAGTCTTAGTTGTCGAGAAATGATTGCAGCAGTGCAAAAATTAAGAAAGGTATTTTGTTGATGCCTGAAGATTGTCCTTTTTATATTTATTCTGATTCATCTGCAGGCAGTTCAAACTCCACAGTGAAATGTTCTGGTGCAAAATCAGAAACAAGAAGTGTTTTTTAGGCCTTTTCTATTTTTATAATAAACAGATAATATAAGAACTAACCACCTTCCTCAAAATTATGGTTTCAATGAAATAAAGTTAAACGCTTCACTGAAACTGAATATTGAATATCCAAAACTGAGTCTCATGCACCTCTTATGATGACCATTTGCTATCAGTATTCTTGCACTACCTTTCAAATTCTATCAAACCAATTGTCAAACAACCACTGTGCTTTCATAGATAGTAAAATAATAATGATAACAAGAAAAAGATCATAATTCTACTACAGCCTCGATTAAATAAAAATAATTTTGTGCTAATAGGTGCCTTAGCATACAACTCCAACTTTTGTAATCAATACAAAAACCCCACAGGAGTGAAATTAACAAAACTTCTCATGTTCTGCAGCAATTTACCCTCTTCACTGTCTTGTCTCTTGTATACAATTCTTACTGGGTTATGTGCCAAATGCATTGCATCTTTCACCATAAAGGCTGGCATCTCCTGCTGTGATACAGCAGCATTTACAGAGAATTGCTTAAGTTCTCACACAATAAATGCTGTTATTTCTGTGGTAGAACAACTTGAAAACCTGCTGTTGCCTTTTGGGATGCATGATTTAATATGTAAGAAATGCTCCCTTGGTTTGATTTATTTTGACCACCAACCACTAGACTCACTCAAAATTGACCTGTTCCCTGTCTTACACTAGGATGTTTACAAGAAATGCAATTATACTAAGCAGTTTCAACTAAGTCCTCTGGTTTGATTTCCTTAAACCCTGCTGCCCTATTTAAATTGTTACTGCATTTCCTTCAAGCAGCAAGCAGCTATTTGCCTACCTACTTACCACTTTGCTGAGTCAAGGCTATAACCATTTGTGCACCAGCAAAATAGAATATTTAATGAACTGCAAAGGAATTAACTTAAGTGCTTTACAGTTGTCCCTAATAAAGTAGAAGAAAATCCATGAGGAATTAGGCACTTATAAACTGGACCTTCAGATTCATTTTCATAATTTCCTTTGTGACTTTTCTAAAAGTAGGCCATGGAAAAACGGCAGTGTTTTGCAAGCATCCACATGAAATTAGAGCCATCACAGGACTTTTACTTCAGTTCAAGGCTCTCTTGGGCAATAAGGGCGTATTAATAACCATGTTATGATATGTAGTGAGCTTTAGAGGGAAAGTGCTGCCTCTGCAGTTCGTGACTAGTATGTTACCCTTTTTTCCCATTACAGTTGTGGTGAACTATATGCACTGCCAACTGTAAAATGGGAATATGCAGCAAAAACACGGTACCCCTCCAAGAAGGCATGGAATGATGTGAACCTTATGCATTTTACAGTCTCTGCATGGTGTATATAACTTCACTTGGCAGATTTATGATCGACATTAAGACAAATTCGATCAACTACATCCTGACCCTATGTCACAGTCAAGTGCTTTCACTTCAAGGACTTCTGTGACTTTAGGGAGGGAAAAATCATAGCAATTAATTTCTCTCCAAGAATGAAAATATATGCACCACGAACCTCTTCTGGCTGAGATGGCCGAGACCAAAAATGCACAAAGTTGAAATGAGTGAGTAACCAACCTTGGCGAAATATCGCATCCTTGCTGCATAAAGGCACCCAGGGAAAACCAGAGACTATTAAATATCCCAAATTCATTAGTTGATTCATTAGTTTGCGTTTCTCTTCCATCTTCAAATTCCTCAGTGTGCCACTCGTATGGGCTAAATCTGCTGACCAGGAATAAAACTACACTGACCCCAATGTAGGCAAAAACAATGCACATCCAGATTTCATATGCTAACGGATCAAGAAATGAAAACACTCCTGGCTTGGACTTCTGAGGCTTCTTGATCATTATTGATATCCCCAGGCTCATAAAGGGCTTTGAGAAGTCAATCACCTCTTCTCTCACCAATGTTATAGTTAATGGAGCGATTGCAATATCGGCTTTCTGTAAAAGAAGAGAAAAAGCAAATAATAGCTAATGCAATGGACAGAGCAAAAAGTGGTTTAGTTTCTATGGCATTTCACAAATAGAAAATAGGGCAGCAGAGACACCAGCAAAATTTGTTTCACCGAGAACATCCTGTGGAGAATTTCAGAAATTTTTAGTTGAACTCATACTGAAATACATATAGCCATATGGTTGGTGTATTCCAAGCTTTTGTTTTTATATATACCCTTCTAACAGCATATGGCATTTAAAAGTTTAGCAAAGTACTTTGCTTTTCACCTGGTCAGAAGGATGAAATATGCATTCACGTTCTCCCAACTTCATTTGCATTTGAAATGTAATTTAATGTTTTACTTTCAAAGTGTTTCATGCCATTAGAAGTTATTAATTCCTATAAAATTAATTAGGTAACTTTCCTACACTCTACAGAGAAAACAAAACCAAACCCCACTCCTTCCATTAGTCACCTTTAATAGCTTTATTATAGAAAATTTTCTTACCCCATAAACAAGTTCTCCAACCATCCCATTCCAGATTTTCGTGTCTGCATCCCTTGCCCCATACTTGCCATCCCCAACAATTGTGAGCTTATATTTGAATCCACAGTGCTTAGCAATTTCTGTAGCTAAGTCCACACAATAGCCCTCATATCGATCATTTCCTTCAAGCATTTCGTGATTTTTCTTCATCATGACATATGGGGACTCCTGCACAGAAAGAACTCGCCTTAGCTGCTTGATAGGGACAGGGTGCATCAGTTGTACACTTCACAGATTAATATATTCCTTTTGACACGTGAAAAAAGAGAGCGGATACCATCTGAATCACACATGCTATGTAGACGTTAGTTGTGAATTGTTAATGGGACACGTCTTTAACACATTTAAAAGCTGCATTCTCCAGAGTCATACACAAACGACAATACTTACAGGCACAGTGATTCCCAGAAGTATGTTAATAATGACCATGAATGTTAACAGGAGTTACGCATTCAGAGAAGAAAGAGTAAATTCCAAAATCAGTTTCTTTCTCTCATACAGTTTGGATGGAAGAAGGCAAAGGTATTTAGTTGCTTTTGTAGCTGTCTTACAGGAGAAAATTATTTTCTGTTTCACAACCACATCTCTCCCTGAGAAAACACTTGAGGCTCTCAAGGCTATATTTTTATTAAATTGCTATACAAACAAAAGGTAAGATACCTATAACTATGCACTAAAGTTCTATCATCAGCAAAATTAGTGATGAGTCATAAGTTGTATTAATATATTTCCTCTTTTCTCAGTTGCTACAGAACTGTTGCATCCAGAGAAATTCCTATGCTAACCTATGGCTAGTCCAAACTGATAAACAAGCTGTGTAATTTACAGAAAAATGCTCTTCTATAATAATACACAATTTAATTTTCTAAACAACCGCAATATAACATTTAATGTTGAATTTTACACTTTACCATTCCAAAGCAGCTAGAATCCTGAAGCATGAGAACCAGTCTCTTTGCTGTTTGTCAAAATCTATGCTCTAAAATGAACACTATGGTTCTACCTGTCAGAAAGTTCCTCTCCTTTGAAAGCAGGTATTTAATTTCCATTTCCAGATTTAAAAACCATAACTTTCTAGGATGTTCAAAGACCATTCATCCTCTACAAATCAAAACCACATCCTGAATCCCATACATTTCCCTGATTTCTAGATTTTATTATGTATCACAATAAGTAACAGCTCACAACCTCAAATAATAAAAAGCATATTTAAACTAACATAATGTCGAGAAACAAATCATTGTAGGACAGACTGTCTTCTGACAAAATAGGAGGTTAATTACCAAAATAGTGGTGACAATAATAGTCTTATTTTCTAGTCCTGAAGATTCATTTCCAAGAGGGCCATCAAGAGGATTCACAACCATTTTGTCCACTTCACTCCAATATCCAATCTAAAGAGAGCGCATAGGATGCACAGACACTAGTGAATATGAACTTTTCTGGAAAAGGCAAAACATGTTATTACTATGCCCTTGATTTGTGCTCACAGAGAACTATTTCAGCTATGGATAATTCAGCACTGCAAGCACTTCTATTTATGTAGTGAAAGACTACAACAAACAGTAAAAAGATTGAGCTAATGACATTTGTTTACATGACTTTGTCTAGAACAGGTATACTATTTTTATTCACACATTAACAGGTTTTAGTATAAACATCACACGCTGTAAAACTGAAATACTCCAGATTAGCAAAACATGAGAAACTGTTTTCCCTTGAAATTAGAGCAGAAACACAAACACATTTATAAAAACATCACTAAAAATCTGTATCCAGCTTTCGCCATTTAGAAGCATATTTCTCCAAATGCTGGCTCACATTTAGGAATTCGGATCAGAAAGCAAAAAGTTTAACCCACAAAAGTGAAAAGAAAACACTCTTATGTAGTACTTACCAGAAATAATAATTCATATTTGTTAGAAAGAAATATTAGCTATGTTTACTTCACTCTGCAAGACCACTGTAGCATACACCTATGAATAAATATTATCACAACTCATGCTTTAATCTAATGTTTCATTACCTACCTTAACCCATTGCTTAGAATGGTAAAACCTTTAGAGACACTATAAGACAAGTCAAATTACCTTCCGAGGACCAGTACTTTTGAGTTCCATGACGTTTATTGTAAAATTGATTCTCTTTCCATTCTGATCAAATTTTATATTTCCTGTTAGCCCTTCCACCTGAACCTATAATAGATGAAGATGGAAGCGGTAGAAAAATTAAGTTTGTTTCTTTTTAGGTAAAAAGTTTTTTTATTTCCACAGATGATTATTGATATTTCAAAAACATTGACTTTAGAGTGATTTTCATATGCAATATATTGTTAGTCAGGCTCCTGAGGACTTCACTTCCACATTATTCCCAGCAAGGTCCAGACAGGTTAGGAAACTAGAAGATTTTTTCCAAGCATTTACAGAGAACTTTACACATACACTCATCCCAGCATCCACTCCAGGGAAGCTACCTGTTTCAATGCCCTTTCTATTTCTACACCATGACCCCAGGGCACAGCTGGATTTGCGAGACAATCTCCAGCATTCCCTCTTCTGGAGATCTCAATCCTCTGTTTACGCAAATTACGGAAAGCTTCTGTCATCACTTGAACAGCATCATAGGTCAGAGCAGAGGTATACTGAAAAGAAGTGAAAATATGTAATTAAAAACCGTCTTCAGCTCCACTATACCTTCCAATCCATTTGGTAATCCATTAAACACTAGAAAGGATTGTAAGATATGCATTAAATAAATCAATTTTTTCTTTAGTTACCCTCTGAGGGGCATCTATGAAAATTAATCAGGTGTATAAATCCGAACTAAAGATTTACAGCTGTTTTCAGTGTGAGTTACATTTTTTCTCACCTACAGCTGTGTACCAATCCTGTGTGCAGATATGGCTGGAAGTCCATGCAGGTGAAAGGGAAGAAAAGAAATAATTTTCAGTGTTCAACCTGAGCTAGCCTATAAAAATAAGAAGTTGTTCCTCTGATTACACTCTTCATAAAGAAGCATTTATTCACACATCTCAAGACTTCATCTCCTCCCAGACATATACACACAGAGCAAACTGTATTTGTATATACACATGTTTAACTTTTCCCAATTAAATATAAAATCTCAGGGGTAGCCACTTTCAAGTGTGCAACACCTTGTCAACACCACACAAAAGTTTTGGGGCTGAGATGCCTGGAACAAGTGGAGCCCCTCAAAGAGCAATATAGGTGAGGAAGAGCCCCATGTTCCTAAACTGACATAGCATAAGGAGCTTTACAACTTCTGTGACATCAGAGTGGAATCCTGCGATGACACAAGTAAGAAGCTGGGGCTAAACAGTAAAAAGCATTTATCTTCAGTGACTGGAAAATTTTACATCTCAACTAACTGAACTGAAACCACATGTGCACATACACCGAGGGCTTTGTTGGATGGCCTTTTTGGGTCTGGAACACTGCAATTATGCCAAACATAAGAGCCATTTTTGGAAATATGAGCCAGAATATAACTACTGGGAGGCATATGAATGAATGGAATGATCCCTGTGAAGGCTATTAGATGCTGAAAATATATAAATTGTAAAGTGGAGAGAAATGATGTATTAGCTCCCTGCTTCAATGGCTCAGACTTTAATGAGAATTTTAATTAGTTAGCTCAAGTCATGCAGAAGACTCTTGTAATTGTAACGAAAGCAAGCTCCCAAATTGAGATAATTTTTCGTGTGCAACTGTTAGACCTTAGAAAGGAAAGTAGAACTCTTTTTTAAAAATCAGTAAGCTTAGTGATCAGTGTCAAACTTCTCAATAAACTTTTCTGAGTGACTTGTACAGAAATATTTAAAGGGATCAGAAAAGCAGAAGAATGAAGTGAAAGACTGGGTAGAACCACTACTACTTCCTTCTACTGAAACAACAGTACTTAAGTGGTGTCCATGAATTTGGAGATGAGGAGGAGAAAGGACCCTGACTGGCAGTACTTTTTAAAACATTGCTCTTTGCAGTACAGAAACATATTGTGCCACACTAGTGTTCTGAGAAACTTTAGAGACAGCACTATCATTAACCATCAAAAAATACTTGGGTAGCAGAGAAAATAAGAACTTGGATTGAGAAGTTATACTGCTATCTAATTCAGTTACTCTATGATTTATTGGATCATTGAGATACACTTAATGTATTATCTCAAGAATATTATTTCTATAGTATATAATTACTTGCCTTAATATTCATAGCTCAGTCATACATGAGGATTACGTAAAGCTTTGCCTATCAATCAGTATCTGTATGTGCATATATGTCATCACATATATAAAATCTACGTGTCATACTTTAGATTAAGACAGCTTTAATCTAAGGATCTCAAAATATTTCAAAAGCGCAGTTGGAAATGCCATGAGAGCAAACAGCCCATGAATCATTTCTTACTGCTTTATTGTGCATACACTTTCAGCTCTTAATAACCTTCATGGGGCTCATTAAATCTATCAACAGCTTCATAAATTGATGTAAAGTTGACAAACTAAACCAAAGTGAACTCATTAAAATAAACAAGAAATGACAGACCAATAACCTGCTTATGCAGAGGTGTGTGTGTGTCTCCATAATAAATATAATGGTCATAAGTTAAAGTATGCATTAGCCCTGCCTTGATTCACTTTGTTTTTCTGTAGATTCATCCACATTCTGATCTGCACTATTAAAATAAATGGGAACACTATTTGGAACATTATTCTTTGGAAATGGGATGGGGTCTTCCATCTTATAAATTTATGGCAGTGTAAATCTCCCAACATCATTTCAGTTCTTTTCAACTTTATATGATAAGGTCAGCAATTTTACTACAAAATTAATTATAGGTGCTATATTTGAGTTCTTACAGAATCACTTGCATTAATTAAAGCATGGCAAAGAATACGCAAAAATAAATCCTGCATCTCACAATTTTAGAACTAGGATAATAAGCTGATAATATCAATTGCCTACAGATTTTACGCCATTTGCTCTGAAACATGGATTGCATGAATGCCAAAAGAAAATAATTTTCTCTAAGTAGATGCCTTAATTGCCAAGCAGAGAAAACACAAGGTCCAAGAAATTTTCTTCAACTTAAATTTCTAATTTAACTTTCTGTCTTCAACTTAAAAGCTCTACAGACTGTAGTAAAATATGTGAGCTGCAATTGCAAAGATGAATTTGAAAAGTAAAGACAAAACAAAGTCATCCCAGACTAAGCAGAAGCTATTAAATGTGCTGTCCAAGAAAAACTGGCAAGATGTTGCATCTTGTAACTTCAGATATTTTCCAGTAACTCAGGAGATACCAGAAATCCTTAGTTAAAAGGACCAGGATTCCATTTTTTACAATCAGCAACTGAATCTTCTGAAGGTGAAATTGCAGAACACTACCCCAGAAGCACAAGATTTTGTTATATGTATATTTCAAAGTTGTAAGATATTATAAGAAAGGTAAGTTAGCCTGTTAGACCTGAATTTAGCTCAATGCCTGTCCACGCGCTCATGACAAAGCTGAGAGATATGATTAGACATCTGAAATAATTAAGACAGTATACTTAATCAGTGGAAAAGAAATAAAAATGTGAAGACATAAATGCAAAAAAAAAATTAAAAAAAAATAAGGAAAGTACTCTGAATCACAAGATGTCAAATTCTGTGACTTCTTGTCATCCAAACAAAATAATAGGAAAACTTTGGCAGGACTCTACCAGCTGTGCCAAAGAATGCAGTGCTGCTGTACAAGACACTAGAGACCTCAGCCAGAATAGCAGACCCAGCTGCAGCAGCGTTCAGGAAGGCAGAAATCAGTCTGCAACAGGCACAGATGGAGGTTCCTCACCACGTATGGGGGCCTGCTGTTGGAACAGCAGGAGAAGGGACACTGTATCACTAATAGAGGCTATGAGAAAGGAGGCCTAAAATCTGGTACAAATATTTTCCCTTGGTAAAATTCTGAGAGAGGAAATATAGGAAATGTTCTTTGTTGCAAGAGCAGAAGGGTAGAATCAATCAGTATAAACACACCATCATTTTCCTTATATTTAAACAATTTCAATGCCACCAAATATACAAAATAAACTATGATAAAATCTCTCATCTGAATTTTGCACATTTTTCCCTCAACAAAGTACTTCTCTACTCGAATGCCAGTATATACAACAAAAGCAAAAAGATTGACACAAACATTGTCACATCTTTATAGATTACATATAAAATATAGGTATACACATATGTAAACACACAAGTGGAAAAGAAAAGAGACACAAAGTTACTTGTCAAGAGCTAGTGAAGGAACTGGACAACTGTCTCTTGTACTTCCAGTGTAGCCAAACTGATGCAACACCTATTTCCTAAGGATCTTTAATGTAGCTGGGAGCTATTTCGAAACAGACAGTATTGCACACACTTTGGAAAATACTTGAAGGTTGTCTGACAGATAGGAAAGGTAATAGAAAATTGCCTAATTGATTGGAAATGGCTATTTCCTTCTGGAGCTCACGGCACCTTGCACAGCATCCTAACAGGACATGGAATTGCAAAGAGCTACTTCCAATAGAAACAAGAGACATTGTCAAATCTTGTACACATAAGTGTAATTGGAAGTGAAGATGGCCCTTGACTGTGCCCATACTCATGCTTTGCTCTCACCTGTTTTGTGCAGGTATTAGCATGAGCAGGGCTGTGTACACAGCAGCCTGCTGAGCTGGTTGCCATTCAAACTGCAAGTGGGTCTCTAGCACCCGAGCATCTTCATTACCTGTGGCTGTGTTTCAAATACTGCAATGTGAGATAGCGGTCAGGGAACCCAAAAAAGACAGTGAGTGGCTCTTCCTCTTTGTTAGGATGATGCTCGTGTGAAAACAGGTGGTCTTAGCCACAGACTTGCTTCCAGCTGTGAATAATTGCATACATCCACAGGATATTTGGAAATAATAATTTCAAATTTTTTAGCAGCAGCCCCAGTCCTGACTAAAAGGGGAAGAGAGATTAATAAAATGTAAAATTACCTGATAGTTTAAAAAAATTATTTGGATTGCTCTCAGTAAAGCTGGGGTTAGAGACCAAGCCCTATTTATCTTAAGGAATATACTATACTTATTAAATTTTGTTTCCCAAAGTTGTACAGTCACATCCACTTGAACTTTGGTAAGTCTTTATTCAAAGACAACTGCAGCACCCTGTGTGCACAGAAAATCTAAAAAAATAGGCATTTTTGCTTTGAAGTGCCATACTGGCATGAGATGCAAAGTACACCCTAAGCAACCTGTCAATTTAGAAAAACTTAAGTTCAGCTCCAAAACTGCTATCTAGAAAATCTGAAGATTTTTTTGACATGTTTATGTGTTTGAATTATCTCTTTGTTTGGTTTAGAAAGGCTGCTTTCTGGCCACTCCCAGAACAGCTAGCCCAGCAGCAGGCACTAGCCAAAGCCAAAATCCCTGGAAATCTGACTCCTCTTTGAAAGACATACTCGCAGCACATCCAGCAGAGACTGACAACAGTGGGGCACTGGAATTATCCTAATGCTCCCACTGCAGGATATTTATAGGAGAAAGTGACCTTCTTTCACTCTTTTAAGAACTGAATATAGCAAAGATCACAAGATTTATAAAGCCCAGAGTGCTTGG